AAGGGCTTTTCCAACCTGGCTGATTCTGTGACTCCCTGAATGTCTGCATGATGCACACACACACTCTCAACACTTAAGCCTGGTTTTGTCAGACTATTGGCAAAACAAGTTTGATTCAGCAGCGTGGGCACAAGGGCTGCTCAGAAGCTGGGCTGCGTTAGGAAGAGCATCGCCAGCAGGTCTCTGCTCCACATTGGTGAGCCCATGTCTGGGTGCTGGGTCCAGCGCTGGGCTCCCCAGTAGACACAGGGAGTCCCTGCTTTGCGCAAGGCTGGGCTGGGACTAGATGATCTCCAGTGGAGACCTCAACTGTTCCACAAGCTCTCACCAGCACCTCACTCACATTTCTATCCACCAAAGCAATGAATCCTGTAGAGAAGAGAGAGCTGCCACCCCTTTTAGGGCAAGGAGGTGGTATTCCCAGAATGAAGAAGTTCAGGAGTGCTCTGGAGACTCCCAGCAGGGGAGCAGCTGCCATTTCTCTGCCCAAACTTCACTTCCATCCAAGCCACAGGAGCAGAGGCCATTTCTGGACCCAAGACCCCATGTCCTCACCTCAGGACAACCCAAGTGACAGCAGGCTCTTCCCAAGAGCAGAAGCAGCAGCTCCTTGGTAATAGTAGAGAGGTGGGGGAAATGAAAGCCATAAACTGAAGGGGAAGTGATGTACCAGTGCCCTCTGCTGCTGGCAGTTTTTATTCCCTGACTGACCAAACCCCCCCCGAGGGCTCAGAAAGCCCACTCTGCTTCAGCTGCTTGCTGCTGAGTAGTGACAGCATTGCCCAGCTCCAGGTATGCGCCCGTGCCAGCAGATCAAGAGCACATGAAGTCCTGCAGCACTGCCAGCCACGCTCCAGGCTCACACAGCACTGGGGGGCAGACAGGAGTGACCCACCACAGGCTCCTCACGTGGCACTCTGCAGCAGCTCCTCCTCCTCCCAGCCCCCTGAATGTGAGGACTTACCTTGAACCTGGGCACTCAGCTTCTCCAGGTCCTGCTCTGTCATGTGGGAAAATCTGCAGTTGGACCCAAAGTCACACTGTCCTGGAGGAAAAGGCACGGAGCTCCGTGAGAGCTGTGCACACAGGGGCCTCCCTCCTTGCTACACCCACATGCCAGGCACACAGGCCCCCTTCCCTCCCTCCACAACACACACACACCAGGGCTCCCCACAACAGCCTTGGGCTGGCTCAGGAAGGAGCTGCTGGAGCTCAGGAGGTTATTTCTACCTCACAGGAACTCACCTGTTTGCAGAAACTTCCGACAAGGCTTCTTGGTTTGCTCCTCTTGCAGGATAGCAGCAGCATCTAGGGCAGACAAAGATCAAACCAAGGTAACGATCTCTCACCCAGCAATACCCCATCCTGTCATGGTCCCAGGCAGCTCAGTTCCCTAGTGGGAAGCTGTTTTGTGTGACAGCCAGGAACTGAAACCAGACAAATCGACAGTTAACAGCCCCTGTTTGCACCCCTGGCTTCAGCTTCTCACCAGCTTGCAAACACCCCCTTCTTTGCCCTCTGCTTCTTTCTCTTTAGGGAAAAGCAGCATCACAGAACAGGAAGGACTCTGCAGCAGAGCAAGATCAGGGAGGCTCACCAAGCTCCCAAGAAGAGCTCTTGGAGAACCCTGTGCTGAGGCTCCAGTGAACACCACTGGAATGGTCCTTCACCTGCTGGAGACATCCGGGGGAAAATGAGCCCTCAAGACACAGCAGCTCCCACAGACCCCATGGAAGAGCTTGCTCTGGCTGATGCCAGGCCACGGAGTCTGGAGAGGAGAGGAACTCCCTTAATCAGGGATGGGATGAGGAATTTTATCAATGAGAGGAAACCCAAGGGAGAAGACATGTACTCAGTAATGTGCCTCCACCACTGACCCAGCCAGGACTGGGCTGTTGGTCCTCCACACTTGGACATTCCAGAGAATCTTTCCAACTTCCACGTGGGGTTAATCAGACAGCAGAGCCTCCCAGAGCTCCACAGGGCATTCCTCCCCTAGCTAGCCAGGAGCCAAGCACAGCCTGCAACTCCTGCTGCTGAGGAGCCAGGAAGAAGCAGAGGAACATACAGGCAATGGTTTCACAGTCAGTGTAACCCAAACTCAGTCTTTGTGACTGCCCAAAGACACAGTACTGCTCTCTGGCACTGGACACACATTCCCACCATACTCCTCAAGCTGGCACTAAGGTAACTAACTGTGTGGTGAGCCAGGTCCAAGCACGAAGCTGGGTGAGAAGAGGATGGTTAAACAGGCAGAGGACACAGGATGTTCCTCCAGCATGTCCTGACACAGCCACCAGCCCCAGAATTTCAATTCCTCCTGTGCCAAAACCTCAGGGCATCCAGTCCTCCTCCTCTGCTCGCCCCCTTGGCTGAGACAGGTTTGAGCATACCAGTGCTGCTCCCCAGTCCTTTCACCCTTATGGGATCTCCAGGCAAGTGGTCACATCCTCAGCCTCTCCCACAGCCACCCTCACAACCCACATCTCCACCTCCTTCTCCATATGAACACCCATATTCCTTACTCCTCACACACCAGAGACCAACTCTGGTTTGCAGAAGGCACCTGCCTCACCTTCAGAAACTGTAACTCTCTTTGCTCTCCCAGGTCTCCTGTCTCAAATCTGCAACTTCTGCTCTCAGAAACACCCTCCCTGTCTCTTCCAGCTCATTTCAAGCTCACGTCTATGGTTTCCCCTTCCCACATCCAGACACATAAGACTTTGCCTTCTGAGACTGCTTGACAGCAACAGCATCAAGTCCACAAACCAGAGCTGGGGTGGGTCAGCTGGAGAAGAGAAGGCTCCTGAAGGGGAGACCTTAGAGCAGCTCCAGTGCCTAAAGGGGTGCCAGGAAACCTGGAGAGGGGCTTTGGACAAGGGCCTGGAGGGACAGGACAAGGGCAATGGCTTGAACCTGCCAGAGGGGAGATTGAGATGAGCTCTGAGGCAGAAGCTCTTCCCTGTGAGGGTGCTGAGGTGCTGGCACAGGGTGCCCAGAGAAGCTGTGGCTGCCCCATCCCTGGCAGTGTTCAAGGCCAAGTTGGACACAGGGGCTTGGAGCAACCTGCTGTAGTGGAAGGTGTCGCTGCCCAGGCCAGGGGTTGGGACTGGAGAAGCTTTAAGGTCCCTTCAACCCAAGCGAACATGTGATTCTACGATTCACTGGCACAGACAACTGGAACACAAATCATCAGTGCTGATTTACTTTATCTTCCCCCCATCTATCACCTCCCCAGTCCCAGAAAGGGAGTGACAGTTGGAACCCACCTCGGAATAAGTCGTACCAGGCTCTCTTAGCCCGCAGATGCTGCACTCCATTGAGATGCTTCTTCCTGTTGTGAAGGTTGTCCTGGAAGGACCTGTCACAGTAGTCACAGAAGTATCTTTTCCCCATTTCTCTTCTGGCAGAACAGCATCAGCGTGGCTGGGAAGCATCAGACAGCTCCTTGGTGCCCAGCCCTGGGGATGGAGGATCCAGGATTTACAGCACCTGCTTCCAGAGGGGAACAACACAAATCATGTGGGGTTGGCAGACAGAGGAAGAGGCGAGAGCCAGCAGTATATATTGTTGTCCATCAGAGACTGGTGAGGCAGCATGTGCTGCCCATGCATGGGAGGACAGACTCAGCTCCGCATCTCTTGCCTCCGCTCCCCAAAGCAACAACAGCTCTGCTGAAGGAACTCTCCTGCCCTGAGTGTGCTGGAGTTCAGACCCACAGAACAGGGACCCTGAGAGGCAGCAGCTCCCAGCTCCACCTGCACCAGGGGAGGTGCAGCAGAACCATCCACTGTGCAAACAGGAACAAGAGGTCCACACCACAGCCTCCACTTGGGGCCCAAACCTGGACCCCAGAGCACAATCTCCACAAGCTGCCAAGCAAGAGGAGGGACATTCCCCCATGTCCATCTCTTCAAAGGAAGAGACTCAGCAACTCCTCAAAGATGAAAACCAGCTCATCTGACCCGCACACAAGTGGGATGCTGCATTACCCACACTGGAGGACCTGACATTCCACTCACTCCTGATTTACTCCTGTACCCCAGGGCTGCTCTCCTCAGCCTCCCCAGCCCCAGATGTGTCTACTGCACCAGGTACAGTGCTCACAAGAGCTGAGATCACAACAGCCTCACAGCAAGGAGGAAATAACCCCCAACCCACAGCCACAAAAAGCAACCTGGAGATGCCCAGAGCTTCTCCTGCCCTGGGAGAGGCTGGTCACACACAGATGTGTAGTCTGGAGATGCTGCTGTGGAGGACAGAGGAGTAACAGGACAGAACTGTGCCCTCCAGGGTGCTCTCATCTGTGCTGGGCCTGGAGCAGGAGGGGTTTGGGACTAAGGGCAGTCCTGTCCCCATCAGCTGTCCCTGCTGGAGGTGTGACAGACACCCTGTGGGAGCTGCCAGTTCTCTGCCGAGTGACACAAAGGAACCTGATAAAGGCTGAAGATAGATGGACTGGGAGATAAACTCCAGAAGTGACTCCCCACCTTCTGACATCTTGACAGCCACACGTGTTTAAAAAATGGCAGAGACCAGTGCAAGAAATACAGATTTTATAAGTAAAACAGGCTCAGAATCAATCACAGCCTCCCTCAGAACCTGCTCCCTGTGACCCAGAGTGTGCACTTGAGCCCAGAACCCCACCATGTGCTGGGTGCACCCCCAGAGCGTGAGCAGCAGCTCAGGGAGGGGATCCTGCCCCTCTGCTGCGCTCTGGGGAGAACCCCCTGCAGCCCTGATCCAGCTCTGGGGAACAGCACAAGAGGGATGTGGAGCTGCTGGAGCGAGGCCAGAGGAGGCCCCGGAGCTGCTGCGAGGGCTGGAGCAGCTCTGCTCTGGAGCCAGGCTGAGAGAGCTGGGCTGGGTCAGCTGGAGAAGAGAAGGCTCCTGAAGGGGACACCTTAGAGCAGCTCCAGTGCCTAAAGGGGTGCCAGGAAACCTGGAGAGGGGCTTTGGACAAGGGCCTGGAGGGACAGGCCAAGGGCAATGGCTTGAACCTGCCCGAGGGGAGATTGAGATGAGCTCTGAGGCAGAAGCTCTTCCCTGTGAGGGTGCTGAGGCGCTGGCACAGGGTGCCCAGAGAAGCTGTGGCTGCCCCATCCCTGGCAGTGT